CCCCTCCCTATAAATTGTAAGCCGCCCTGAGTCCCCTCAGGGAAAAGGGCGGCCTATAAATAATAAACAAATCCAAATCCAAATAAACAGAATCTTCCTTTCCAATCAGCCCCCATTTTATTCCTGACTTGGCCCTGGACCTGGATATTTCTTCCAACAATTTAAAACCCGTTAAGTTACAAGAAGGATATGGAGGGGAAAAAAAGTTAATATACTCTACATACAGATCAATGATTGATGTTTTTTATAATGAAAAGGATCATACACATAATTAACTCAAGGAGAGATGAGATATGAAAAGAAGAGAGCATTTGTCGTATTTTAAGGGAGATAAATGACTATGCAAATACATTTCTTTTCTATTTCTCTTTATTTTCCGTACTTTCTAATATATTTTTTTTGCTCTTATATATTTTAGTTGGTATTTAGCTTTTATCTTTTCAATTATAATGCTTAGTAAAATTATTATTTAAAAGAAGATGGTAATTGGGACCAACAATTCTATCAACTAAGCAATGCAGCTGTATATTATCTGACTATGGCAGTGGTTCCCAAACTGGCTGGAGAATTCTGGGAGTTGAAGTCCACAAGTCTTAAAGTTGCCAAGTTTGGGAACCACTGGACTATGCGATATTTGCAACAGCAGTTGTGTCAATCCGAGTTGCCATAGTTAGGTGAATCCTGCAAGGTTTCAGCCTCCAGCTGTTACATGATTGCCATTGGCAGCTTCCTGCCAGTTTCCCATTGACTTCGCTTCTTGGACACCAGCAGTAAACGTTGCAAATGGTGATAATATGTCTACCTGAATGCCATAATTGTGAGCCTGTTTTCCAAATGCCCAGATCGCAATCACACGACTGCAGAGATGCTGCAACAACTCCAACTATGAGAAATGATATAAATACTTCCCTTCGGAGCTGTTGTAGCTTTGAATGAACGCTAAACAAGTTACCATTTGAGAATTCTCTGTCAGGTTTTCTCCAACGGTTGAATGTTCATCCATACAGCGAAGGATTGTTCTGCTGAATAAGAAAACAGCGTGTCATTCTAAATTTCTATGAGGACTCAAACTCCTGCATCACAGAAACCTGCAATGCTCCTGTAGGAAGTTATCATCCAGCCCTCTCCCAGAAAAATGAAATATCCTAGGAAATATTGAAAAGGCAGAATATTTCTCTGGATGTGAAAA